GAACAAGACGAGAGAGAGAGAGAGAGAGAGAGAGAGAGAGAGAGAGAGAGAGAGAGAGAGAGAGAGAGAGAGAGAGAGAGAGAACCCATTGTAACCAACTGCGCGTCCGCTGTCGGCGCGAATACCCTTATAAGGGTATCCGCCCTGGTTTTTGCAAGTGACAGGAAGGTTCGGTTAACCTGGATTTGAGTGCCCGTGCGGGAAATGTGAGGGTCGTCCGCGCACGGGTCAAGGACCGCCTTGTCCCGGTAGGGAGTATGTGGGCGCGCAAAGTTAAGGCGCGCGTGTGATTTTCGGATTGGGTAGGGCGGCCGGGGTAGCCGACCAACCCGGGCCGGGTTACGGGTTTGATTAGGGGGTGGTAGCTCGCCTTGATTGACGCGCGCAACCGGTGGTGGCGCACGGACCGGCGCGCGGGGATGGCCATGCCACAGGATGGTAGGCCGGCGCGGGCACCTAGGGGCCGCGGGTGCAAATGTGGGTTGGGAGAATGGCCGGAGCGGTATCCTGGACGAAGCGTCGCGCGATACCACTTCACGTGGGAGGTCGCGACTGCTAGTGCCAGGCTTGGGCTTAGCCCTATCGGTTACGACACTGAATTGTTTCGGCAGAAGTACGGGGTTCGAGACCGGCGGACAGTGGCACGGGAGCAATGGAGGAGCGAGAAGCCGAGGGGTCGAGGGTCCCGCGGGACTATCTCCCTTTTTTTCGTGTTAGTTGTTTTGATTGAGAGAACCCTACCACAGACCCGTGCTGCAAGGCTACGGGAGCATTGGCAGGGCCCGCGGCTCGCTTCCCCCTTCAAGCGACCCCCCACCCTTGCGTTTTCTTCTTCATTTCCGAAGGTTACTTAAATTCTATTGCGATTAAAGCTTAGGACCGCTAAGGGAGGGGGGGGGGGGGGCTGTTGTAGTCGGGTTTCCCCGAGGCATTTATCAAAGTCGGGGCGATACTGAGGGAGTCTGCGTGGTTGGCCAGGTAAGGGTAACGTAGGCAAACCCCGTGAGTGGACCCGGACGCTAACTGAGCCGGGTGTGCGTGAGGGAGCAAGGACGAGGGGCAGGATCTAGCAGGTGACCGGTGGTTGGAGCTTCTCCGGCCGCGAAGGGCCGCGGGCGCTACCCTGGGCAGCGTTATTCGGGGCATCTGCGGATTTGGGGGCAATATTAAGGAGATCCGCAGCGTCAACCGCGGTGGGATGGCGAGGGCAGAAAAGTTGGTGGTTGTACCTGGGCGCAAAGCAGACTAGGGGCGTGCAGGTCCTTCGGGACATCCGTTAAAATTGAAACGATGCAGAGAAGATTCGTATGGCCCCTGTGCAAAGCGGGGCGGCATTACGGCCGCGCGGAGTCCGAGAAGCCACGGGCGTTGCCGTGGCCTGGGTCCCTCGGGACATCTGTTAGCAATGGAGCGGCATGGAGAAGATTAGCCTTGGACCCTGCGCAAGGAGGACTCGCATATATCGAGGGAGAGCCGACAGCCGAGTGTTTTCTTTGCGCTCTGATACGCGGCTGGCTGTCGGACCGCGCGGGACCGTGCAGTGCTAGAGCATCGGGGCTGACGTCAACCCGGGCTAAAGAGTGAAGATGGCGCGGAGGTGAGCGAGGCGCGGTGACGGGAGGACTGTGCGCACGACTGTTGGCGGGATTGGGCCGTAGAAGAAGCAAGGAGAGGGTTGTGGGCCATTGCGGATTGACTGGCGGGGTCCGTTTCGGAAGAGGAATGGGCTGGTCGAAGGGCGACGACCACTATGTTGAGGAACGGTAGGCCGCGAGCGGGCAGAGAGCCGACGTGGAAATCGGGTTGAACCGGGACGGGTTGGTAAGCCGGATTCATTCGGAGGGAAGGAGCTATGGAGGGGGGAGAAATTGGATTGCCCGCCCGCTAAGAGACGAAAACGGGCAGGATAAGAGGTTGGGTAGGGGTTTTCTGGCAAGGTGAAACCGATGGTGTAGTTAGTTTTGGGATTAGTTGTTTAGAATTGGAGTTAGTTGGGAATGGTGCTGCGCTGAGCAATGGCGGGAGCATGAATGGCCGGCAGCAGGAGAGACGAGTAGAGTA